ACGTCGACGTGCGGCACGGAGCAGGGCGATCAGGCGTGGGGCATCTCCGTCTTCAAGGTGGAGGAACACCGGCACTGCAGTGACGGCGAGACGGCGTGGGAGGGACACCCGTGTGTGCACTACTCCGGCTACGTCTCGGCCGAGACGTCCAACTTTGTGAACATGAAGCAGGAACGGTTCGTCTGCCAGCTGTTCGTCGACTCAAGCACAGAGTGCGAGAGCGCTTGTATGCAAGTCGACTGCTCCGACTTCTATAACCTGGCGCAGATCTTTGAGGAGTGCTTAAATGCCCAACCCCACCCCCAAAATGCCCGGGCGTGCGTCGATGAGTGCAGACGCAGATGATAATTGGTCTGTCTGTACGTCGTTCTCTGTGTGTTTGTCGTTCTCTGTGGGTTTGTCTCCTTCTCTCGACGCACCGTCCGTAGGGTGCGACGGGATCTCGGTGCCGCTGGGCGCTGGTCTGACTCTCGCGCAGATAGGAGCCGATAACCCGCAAGGGAGGACTCGCAAGAGCGTCTGATCAAAGAAGAATTATCGTACGGTCCTTCCAAAATCCTGCTCGTGCGGCGCGCTTAAAATCCCTCTGTGTGGTGGCGGCTTCATCCAATCGAGCCGTCCCCATTCACACATGCATAGTTTTCAACAAACGCCATTTTTGAGACAATGCCGCGCGTCTCACCTCTCTCCTCTCTCTCAGCGCCCCCCTCACCCCCTCTCCGACTCCATGCTCCAAGAGCGAGTCCCAAAGCAAGAGCACAGACATGCAGCGGCTGCGACATCAAACGCCGTGCCAAACAGAGCAGTCCTCCGAGGGTAGCCCGCTCAGGCGGCGGCGATCAGCGGCGGCGGCGCCTCCGCCTCGAGCGGCGGCGGCTGCTCTTCCCTCGGCTCGCGCTCCCTCGCCTCCTCCTCCTGCATCGCGGGCGGCGGAGGGTCGGAGGCGGCAGCGGGGAGACGGCGGCGGCGGTGGAGGTGGTGGTGGGGTGGTGCAGTGTGGTG